CTCCTCCCTCCTTACCTGCCCAGAAGCTGGGTAGGTTTTCAAATTATTTTGACTTCTTAACATGTTATTAATTCCCAAAACCTTTCATTAAGTCTAGGTCCTTTCTAAAAACTCTCTCCCCGAGGCTCTAATTCCAACCTAGTCTTTTCTGTTGTCTGTATGCACTGTCTACCCATAGCCTGCCCCTCTTCCTAGTCTTTTCTGTTGTCTGTATGCACTCTGTCTTCATCTATACCCATAGCCTGCCCCTCTCCTCTTTTTCTGCATATTTTGTTCCATTATTTTGTCTTTTCCATTATCTTATTCCTTGTTCTAATTATTCCTACTCTCTCTTGTATCAGCAATACAGACACCCTTTCCTCCTCTTTCCTAGATTTTGCCCTTCCATCTCCTTATCACACCTCTTATTCATTCCAGCCATGCACCTCTTCAGTGGTGCTTCCTTTTCCATGATCGTTCCTCATCCAACTGCCTTCTCTCCCTGCTCCCTGCACAGGGAGATAGGATCTCAATTACGATGATTGCCTCAGTCTGCTGGCCATTTTAGAAATTAGCTTCCCATCACGAGGTCTTCATATGGCTCGGTGGCCTCCTTTACCTGTTTCCTATGCTAAGAAATAAATTAATCTAGTTTTCTTTAATTCCCAGGGCCTTCCTGTAATTCTGCAAACACATTCCAGCTACCATGCTCTCTAGAATCCTCAGTGCTAACACAGATGTTGTATTCTGCCTTCAGAAAATTTTGGCAGGGTATAGCATAAAACTCTTTTAAGGTAAGTTAGTTTGGCGGGGATATCACTACTATGCTTCTTCTAGCATGGTGATCTTAACCTCTAATTTAGTGTTTGGATGCAGAAATCAAACTATAAAAAAGTATTTCTAAAATATAAATGTGAAATGTTTCTTCCTTAATAATAAACTTTTTGGAAACAAATCATGAGCTTGTTAAAAAAAATCAAGAAAGGAATGAATTATGTATGAATTGTTCTTATACAGGCATCTCCCTACAAAACTTTTGTCATTACTAACAAATGTCAAGTGCAGTTATTATTTTATTTTGAACTGAGTCACTTTCTTGTGCTTTGCTTGGTGTCTGACCATTATAGTATATACTCAAACACGGCCTATTCCAGAGAATTCTAAATAAATAGCCACTTAGCACATACCACTCCCACAAACCACAACAGGCTTCATACACTCAGCTGGTACTCAGAACCGCTCAGGATTTAGCCTGTATGGTTCATCCTCATGTCCATAATGCCTGATATTACCATGCAGCTTGCCATAGCTCACAGCTGCTCCTCTAAAGGACAAATTGAAAACCATTTATTAATTTAGACAACTGACTCACAACCACCACTTGTCAGAATGTTGGTTGAGTGTAGATGGGGTCCGATTCACCAAGAGGTTTCAGTTTTATCCTTGACTCCAAAGCTGGGTGGGGCTGAACAAATGCATTGCTAGACACATTATTTCAACCAAAAATATTTATTCAATGATAAATGTTGTTGAAACATTCTATCATCTAAAACCAACCTCTCAGACTCATTGTGACCCAACCCTATCCCAAGGAACTCTAATGCTCAAATTCTCTGTTTAGAATGTATGCACAAATGGAGTTTTAAATATACACTTGCTAATCCAGTGAAGGATTTTTGTGAATTGAAATGAGGTGGGGAAACAATCATTTATTTGCATGGGACAATTATTCAGAGTAGATGAGGCCTAGCAGATCCTTCCATGGCTGGTGACTGACTACCCACATAAGTCAAAAGTAAATAAAGTTTGGAGTTTGGTTGCCAGGAATCACCCAATAGAACCCCGTGCTTCTAGTAAAATCCAGTGTGTTTTCCCCAATAATTGTCTTTGCTTAGAGACTGCCAATTTATTAGAAATTAATAAATTGGTAAAACAGGCTCTGGAGGGACCTAGTTGCCCTTTCACAATTCTCCTGTGCTCAGGTCCCATCTTCCTCTGGAACTCTCCTGTCACAAGGTCTAGAAATCAATGCTTCTTCCTCTTATTTGGGATGCTAGAAAATGAGATTATTACAAGTACCCTGGGTTCTTCTCTGGTTCCAAAGGGTGTGCACTGCTCATAACAGTTATTAAATCCATTTATTTTACAGCAGTCTTCCTGTAAACAAGAACTGTATTTTCCAATCCCTCACAGAGGATTGCATTTTTGAATGCTTTCTAATCAATCTTGGTTTTTTCGTCAATTTGTCTCCATAATCAACACTCCCACATCATTAGACTCCACAATATTTTACCAGAGAAGAGAGTTAGCCTCGGTCTCTCATGGAGCACTGCATGCATGGGGAGTCTCCACATCATTAGACTCCACAATATTTTACCAGAGAAGAGAGTTAGCCTCGGTCTCTCATGGAGCACTGTATGCTGCATGGAGCTGCTCCAAAGATCAATGGAGTGCTATACAAGCCAGAGCAGGTTAAGGAAGCCCTGAGGCTGTTCTAAAAAGCACTGTTGATAGATTTGGTTAAAAAAAAATGGGCCCAGGATATGGGAGGAAAATGGCTGTTTTGCATTCAGCAACTGCTGGGGCAAAGTTGATCATTGAACGCTAGGGAGGGAAGAGGTCTTATGTCATTTTGGATGACCCACTGTAAAAGGATGTCACCCCAAGCACACACCATGTTTGGGAGGCACTGAAGCCATCAAGCTGAGCTCCCTATAATGATATTTGTTTTTGGATGACCCACTGTAAAAGGATGTTGCCCCAAGCACACACCATGTTTGAGAGGCACTGAAGCCATCAGGCTGAGCTCCCTATAATGATATTTGAGTTTTGCATATGCCAAAAGGATGTGTTTTGGTAAGTACAGTACAATCTTAGCGCTTTGCTTAGTTGAATTTTAAATTGTTTTAAAGTATTTTTTCTGCCATTACTTTTTTGGTCATGAATTCTTTTTAATGGGGATAAGATATATAATTAAAGCTATTCAGTAAGTCGGGGACTGCCTGTAATTAAAGCTATTCATTTTTTTTCTTATCCATATCTTAAATTTATAAATGCGATAAAACATTCCATGAAATGAATGAGGGCCTAATGGAGTTCTTCCCAGGAACACTTCAAGTCTGAAGGTAAATGCCTGGGGCAAAAAATGCCCCTCTGGCTAGTTATTCACAGATCCCTGTAAAGATCCTGGAGTAAGGACATTTATTTTGCATCCTGCTGTTCTGATGGAGCAGCAGGACATATCCCAGACATGTTTACAAATGCAGAAGACACTTTCAACTAACACTGTGCTGAAGGAATATGCACTATCTGAAGCCGCTTAGGGTCCATACAAAATTCAGAGAGAACTGTAAGTACCTTCCTTAGTATACAGGAAGCAACTCTGGCATATAAGAGGAACCTTTGTGTCATGCCACTTATGGTATTTATATTCTGCTTACCTACATTTCTTGCAGCAATTTCAATTGTCTTGGACTTTCTCTACTGTCTTTCCTGAATTATGCATAGTGTTCTTAAAAGTAACAACTATATTTCACCCTAAAAATGGCTACAATTCACTGTTGGGAGGCAATCTGGTATAGATGTAAATGCTGCTTCCTCCGATGTCACTCCCCAAAGGCAATGAAGTCAAGCTGGGCAAATTAATAGCCCCTAAGAATCTTTTGCAGCATGCTCTGGCTATACCCTGGAGCAGTCAGGTGTTCCACAGTACATATTGCACTGGTCAGGATTTTGGTGGTAAGCGATTGCTGAAAAACATTCTGATGGCTTTACCACAAAGGCAGCTATAATGCCATAATTCTCAAAGTTTAATTGCTATTCTGCTCTGTCACAGTTTAAGTTACTTCACAGAAATTAGTTCTAAGCAATTTAAACCTTGGAAAGTCAGTGAGTTGCATGATATATATTTCTTCTTATGAATGAATTTCAGAAAAATCACTTCAAGCTGTTAAAATCACCATGCAGTACATCTCAGAACTGCTATGCATACACAGAAGGGTAGTTAAGTTATACCGTTCCACAAATTGTGCCATGCCACCATGCAACTATCTAGGTTTCTCTCACTTTTTAAAACATGTCTGAAATACATTTAGACTTCTCTTCAGCCCACATCTAGAATTCCTCTTAATATCACTAACCTGTAGGGGCCTGCATTCAGTGCAGATGGTTATAAACACTGACTGCTTGTCTATTGTATGGTGAATCTGGATCTATCATATTGTGCCCTTGCCCACATATAGTCCGTACTGGTTTTGTGGTTAAGGCACTAGAGTAGTAGTGCAAAGGCATGGTAGAGGTTGGCATGGTGACTAGCTTCTAGTATCCTGAGAGCCCAGTCACTTATGATGAGATTTTCAGGGGAGTACAGCAACAAGTGCTGTAAGGGAAGTTCTGGGCCAGGCACTTTTAAATGTCTAGTTGTAGGTGCCTGAATGGGATTTGAGCTGTATTGACAGCATGAGCCTGAATCTGTGGCTCAGTTTCTTATCTTATCTGTAAACTGGGGATAATAAGATTTCCCTATTTCACAAGGCCACGGTGAGGACAAAATGAAGTTGTTCTACATAAAATTTGTGTTTTAGTCTTAAAATATAACCCGGGGCCTGGCTTTTATCTCACTTTTCACCAGTTTAGCTGTTCTTGATTTAATCAGCTATAAGGAAGGAGAATAGAGCCACAGACTTTTGCATCTGTTTAAACAAAAGTTTTCAATCAAAGCAGAAATACTGTATACTGTCACTAGGAGGCATTATGCCACCAAGCACACAAGTCACTTAGGGCTCTGTCAAACCCTGCCCTATGAATCCATCTCACTTTGCATTTATATTCATGTTCAGTGTAGAAGGAGCAACATACTGCTTATTACTTTCATGTGGAACCAGGGACTACAGCTTCCTTCCAAAGATTACTTTCATGTGGAACCAGGGACTACAGCTTCCACCCTAAGGAAGGACACAGTAATGTCTTCAGATTTTATGCCTGTAATTTGTAAAACTATCATTCAGACACAAGATACATACCGGTTGACTCTTTGTCACTATTGGTGCCGATAAGTAAAGATTAGCCTGCAAAAGAGTAAATATATATAGTGTAACATAAATTAGCATAATCCATTCCTACTGTCACACAGTCTGGGATAAAGAGAAATGCTTATTTGCTACAGAGAGGAAACCAGGCAAAAGAATAGTTCCATAGATTGTGAGTGGTTTCTGGATGATGGAAGGAGTACATTTACATTTTATCATGTCACTGGTAAGCACTTTTGTGTTCCTAATGGAAGAAAGGCATCTGAGAAACAATATATTCCCCTAAAAACAATGAATAGTCCCTGCAGCGCCTATAAGAAGACTTTATATCTGATGTAAAGGTTTGCTTCTGCACAGTGGACAATTAAAACAACAATCATTAAAATGTATTTCTAATTATAGCCCCTCATGAAATTAACTCTTCACTAACATCTCATAGGGCTCCATGCTGGAAGGACATTAAAATTCCATGTATCTTTCAAGTGACTATCGTCTCTTTCAAGTGAATTCCATTGAACTTCAGTAGGTTCCTGTGTAAAATTCACTACCCTTCTTCCAGGACACATTTAACTACAAAGCTTCAGATTGCTAAATGTAGAGCTTTCTTTGGTTAATTAAAAACTGTTCTAATAGCTAGGTTTTGATGTTACCGCTATAGCATATTAAGGGCCAGACTTTGGCATACACTTACAGCCTGCACTGGATGGCACTACAGCAGCAGCTTGAAGGAGGGACACTGAATTACTGAACCACAATTCCTTCTAATGGTTTCCAGGAACACAGCCGCCCATCACCCTGGGAAGGGAAAGAACATATGCACCCCTTGCTTCTTCCAAACTCAACAGACTGGGGTTGTCTGGGGCTGAGGCCAAAGACCCACCTGCACTAACCCCAATGAGATAAATAGTGCCACCACTGGTCATCCATCAGTCACATTGTTGCACATGGCACAACAAAGGAAAGCTCCCAGTTCCCTCCTGCCACCTTCCTACACCAGCATCCCCCCGTGGGACTAACCATAGCACTTTCAGGCCTGAGGTTTCACAGCCTTGTACTTGGTGCAGTCACTTATTGCTGTGGAAGTTGAGTTCGAAATTGGTATCCAGTGCTGCACCAGAAGGAATACTGGTAGCTGAGAATTCAGCCCTTTCATTTTTTAACACCCTTGAGAAAATATTGACCCCAATGATTTGTATAGACTATTAACAATTACTCTAATTGATCGATGTATACAAACACTAACATAATGTAAAGAAAACATGTAAAGTGGCTTAACAGGATGACAGCTTCTGCTGTGTCTGGCTGACTTACAAACAAATTAGTATGCAAAGATCATCTATTTTTCTTCTCTCACCAATGGCATAGTTAAGACAGCTTCTCAAGAAGCTTCCACTTATAGAAATTACAGAAATAAATAATGATAATTGGATTGTTGAAATGCTACACTAATTCTTCTATGTAAACTGAATTTCTGTTGACCAAATGAATACCTGGTAGCTATTTCAGATAAAAGAAACAGTGCAAATCCCTTGTCAAAAAATTAAATTAATTTAAAAATCATTGCTCCATGCAAGACCACTAGTCATGAGAAAGTGAGCATGCTGAATGAACTCAGAGTTTGATATGGATACCATAGATGTCCTTACCATGGATGGCAAATTCAGCCCCAACAGGTCCATCATTCATTAAGAAGAGACACAGCTAGTAGAAAACAGAAACCTTGTACCTAATTGTATCTAATTGTATGTTATTTTGTAGTCCCTTTATGTTGCACAAAAGAGCCAAAGCAAGCCACTAGAGCAGTGTTTCTCAAACTGTGCTCCGCGAAGCCCCAGGGCTCTGCGAGACATCTCCAGGGGCTCCGTGAGGTTGACAAACTAGAAACATCGATAGGTACAACACAGACAATCAGTGGACCGCTGGGGTTCCACATAAATTTTTACACGTGTAAAGGGCTCCGGAGCCCAAAAAGTTTGAGAATCGCTGTACTAAAGGATAACCTCGACATATGGTAATACCTCAGGTGGCATGAAACCATATTAATGGTTTGGAACTGCCTTCTTCAGCAGACACTGTTATAAGTGGTGGTGGTGTACAAGGTGTAGTGTGACCTGACTATTCTTAGCTGCCACTGTGGTTTTTTGGAGTCCCGGGCCTCAGAGTGTAAGTTAAAGCAGACTTGAAGTTAAGCAATTATAGGGAGGTCCAGACCAGACAAAAAGGAATTCAGGAACTCCTCAGGATACACAATATTTAGGGGCTAAGTAGAAACATACAGCAAACTGAGCCCCTAGACAGACAGGATTTTGTTGGCATTTCCCCAGGGCCTCAACCCCTGATAGATTCCCTTGAGGACAAAGCTCTTCAATCTTCTGGGACAGCTCTGCTGATGGAAGCAGACTTGGCCTTCTGCATTCTTGAGGAGCAGCCATGTGAGCACTTCCATGTGCATTATTCTAGACTCCTGTTTCCACCAGCCTAAGGCATTTACCTTCTCTCCGGCCCTGACAAATAAACCCCAACAATGTCCACATTTAGGAACAAAATATAAAAAGCTACACACAGGCAAGAAGATTGTTCATAAGTCAGGGTATCTAAAGAGACAGTAGCTAAACAATATACATCTGAGTTGACGTGAGACTTTAAAATGTCAGTACATTTGTAAAGATCAAAGAAAATGAACCAGACTAACTCTGCCTTGTCGCAAGTGAGTTCCAAAAATAATATCTGAGCCAGAAATGCTAGTTACTATATGCCTTGTAAGGATAATTCTACTGAAAGCAATGTGTCAGGCACAGCAATATACATTCAATATACATTATCATCCTCAAGATACGAAGTGTCAGCTTGTTCCTGCATTTCACTAAAAATGAAAGTCTCCTATTTAGCACAAAGTACAGTAGCACACTCTGTCCTATAACATTCTCATTCCGTAGTATGGAATAAAAATACATAACTGCATGTAAGAAAATCTCTTTTGTGGCTACTTGCTTACGGGGGAAAAATTACATTGATAAAGCAGTGTGCTGGGAACAAACTGGAAAATCTTTGCCTACACTACACCTATTCTGTGGTGAGTAGAAAGGTAGATTGGTGAATCATGAGCATAAGTAAAAAATGGTATCTTCCTTAACTGCTTATCCTAAGGAGAATAAACATGTTAATTGAGTTTAATATGGTTTAATAGTTAATAAAACAAATGACTTAAGAGAACTACTTGTGTGTCTGTCTGTCTCTCTTTAAGCTTAAGCTTAAAAAACAACAAATAGTCTCGCAGCACCTTACAGACTAACAAAACATGTAGAGGTTTGGGTGGTGCCCATGAAAGCTCATGTTACCATCTACATGTTTTGTTAGTCTATAAGGTCCTGCAAGACTATTCATTGTTTTTTTTAAGTTTTTCCAGTTACAGACTAACTCAGCTACCCTTCTGAATCTCTTTGAGGTGTCAAAGGCAGGATAGCAAAGAGTTAGCTTTTCTAGTCACAGGACAGCATTTGGCAGCGTAAGTGCAATAACAAGCATGCTGTGTGTAACCTATCTTCACCCCCAAATCCACAAAATAAAACAAAACAGAAACCCTTCCCTTAATATCTCCTGCCTCTTCTAATAACGGTTCTATTTTCTTTCTAAAATGCTTCTTAGCCCAGTTCTGTGGGGACTAGTTCTAGAGGTGATAGGACAGTTTGTACCCAATTAGAGCTAAATTGTGGGGGAGGGGAGGAGGTTTCAATACAAGAAGACAGGAATGTAGAGCCAAGCAAGTGCTCCTGGTGAGACATTTTGCTTTGGATTGGCACAGCACCCTTGTGAGTTCTGGAAGGATGCGAGCCAGAGTGGTTTTTGCTTCATCTTTTGAAGAACATCACACGTGTTAACTCTGTGAATATAATCATGGATCACACTTTGGTGCTGCATGCCCCTCTCTGGGGTGGCCGCCCCTTTCCAGGCATTCACTTCACGCTGATTTTGGTGGTGATCATTTTTGCCCAGGACTGTTAGAGGAAGGAGAGACATTGGCATCTCTTCACCTTAACCTGTGCAACTCTACAAGGCTTCTCATAGATGGCAACCAAGGGTGATACAGACCATTGTTTACAAAGGAATTAGACTGAAATCACCAACAAAGACCTCCCTGAAAAGCCACTTGTTGGTAAGGTCTGGGGTGGAATTGAGCTAGTGGTGAGAGGTGTCAGGTCTTGTTTCCAAAGCCTGGAACTATTCAGTTCCCTGACAACTGTAGAGACATTTTCATGTCCTAGTTGAATTTACCTGGCCATTACTGCAAGAGGGATGCTTTCTCCTACAAATAAGACAATTCTGTAGCTAAAACACAGAGTAATTATGAAGGGACTTACATATTTGGTTTCTCGTCCAGCTGCTCTCTGCAGTGTTGCAGACATCTGCACACAAGATAGATTGATGTAACATACAGCCAACAGTGACATGACAATTCCACAAACTTTAGTCTTTGTAGCAAGCAATTAACTGTTAAAATTCTAAAAAACCACCAGTCTGCAACCCTTATGAAAATTTCATCAGAGAGGTGAAATGTAATTCATTAATGTTTAGCTCTCTATGTTGAGTAATTGTTTGACTTATTGTTATTATTAGTAGTAGTCGTTAAGATATGACTCCATCTGACTTCATAGTATTATAGCTGTCCTTGGCATTTGGAATACATAAACTCTCAGAATGAATCTGTTAGTAGACAGAACAGGATATATTCAACCCCTAAACAAGATTTCATTTCTATTTTCCTGGGAAATATACTGGAACTATTTTTTGCTCTGTGCTATTTTTCAGCAAGAATTCTCATCTTTCACCTGTCTTCTGTTGTCTCTCTAGTCCATGACATTTCCAAGGCATTTTAACTAAGATATCTGTTGTATAGCTCCTTCTACCACTCCTTCTACCACCCTTATAATTCCTCTTTACTCTGGCTTCTTTCTTTGGTCCAGTTCTCCACTGCCTTGCACCTGGTATAATTATATACATCTATACAAAGTGGGTATAAATTGCTATCAGAGCAGAAATCTCACTCATGCCTGTAGTAACATTTTACAGACGCTTTACATTGTGTAAATAACTACACAAGGTATAAGCACTGGAGAATGAGCTACAGACTGTGTAAGTATCCCTTGTAGGAAAAAAAATAGAAAAAAAACCTCTTCCCTTAATTCCACCTGCTTCTCTAACTATTATATAATCTCCCTCCTCTACTTTCTCTCATGAGGCCGACGACTTACTTCCCTATTACCCTGCTACTCATGAAATCACTTATACCAGTGAAAAGTCAGTACAGAGCAGATATAGTCTACTCCCATTGCAGTATAATAATATTTTCCCCCACTTCACACTAGTGTAAATGACCAGACAACATGCAGAGCAACAGTGAGCACTGTCCATTCACAGTGAACCTACTGACAACAGAGGATTTTGGATCACTTCCACTACCTAAGTGTTGCCTTCTCCATCCTTGATTCTGGTTTTGCTCTTTCCATTCCACCAAATTTGCCTTGACCAAGGCTGCTAATTGTATCCAGTGTTGTATTTATGTCAGTCCCAGGATATAAGACAGAGAAGGTAGGTGAGGTAATATCTTTTATTGGACCAACCTCTGTTGAGGATAGGGGAGAAAGACAAGCTTTGAAGCTCCACATAGCTCTTTTTCAGATCTGGGCAAGACACTGAGGCTGTGTCTACACTGGCAAGTTATTCTGGAAAATCAGCCACTTTTCTGGAAAAACTTGCCAGCTGTCTACACTGGCCGTTTGAATTTCCAGAAAAGCACTGACGATCTAATGTAAAATCATCAGTGCTTTTCCGGAAAAACTATGCTGCTCCCGTTCAGGCAAAAGTCTTTTTCCGGAAAACTGTTCCGGAAAAGGGCCAGTGTAGACAGCACAGTAGTGTTTTCCGCAAAAAAGCCCCAATCGCAAAAATGACGATCGGGGCTTTTTTGCGGAAAAACGCATCTAGATTGCCACGGACGCTTTTCCGGAAAAAGTGCTTTTCCGGAAAAGCGTCCTGCCAAGCTAAACACGCTTTTCCGAAAATGCTTTTAACAAAAATCTTTTCCGTTAAAAGCATTTCCGGAAAATCATGCCAGTGTAGACGTAGCCTGAGAGTGTCACAATTAAATACCCAATCTAACAGAAAGTTTAACATAAGGGCTGTGTCTAGACTGTCAGCCGCTTTTCCGGAAAAACTTGCCAGCTGTCTACACTGGCTGCTTGAATTTCTGCAAAAGCACTGACTTCCTTCTGTAAGAAATCAGTGCTTTTTGCGGAAATACTATGCTGCTCCCATTCGGGCAAAAGTCTTTTACCGAAAGACTTTTGCGCAAAAGGGCCAGTGTAGACTGCAGAGATTTCTTTTCCGCAAAAAAGCCCCGATCGCGAAAATGGTGATTGGGGCTTTTTTGCAGAAAAGCGCGTCTAGATTGGCCATGGACGCTTTTCCGCAAAAAGTGCTTTTGCAGAAAAGCGTCCTGCTAATCTAGACACTCTTTTCCGAAAAGGCTTTTAACGGAAAAGTTTTCAGTTAAAAGCATTTCCGGAAAATCATGCCAGTGTAGACGTAGCCAAGTAGTTTAAGAGACCTGTATTTTAAGAGACCAATGAAACATAAGTGGCCTGTTAATTCCCTGAAATTATAGGGAAAAATGGGGTTTAGTGGGTAACGTATTGTAGTTATAACTCAATAAGTTCCCTCCTGTTTGCAGGTACACTGCTACATCAAAGATATAGGTAGAGATGTAGCATCAGGGATTGCCTGAGGAATCTCCTGCAACTCTACAGAAGGAATGCTAGTGCTGCCAACTTCCTTCCAAATACAAATAATTTGGTACAAGTGGGCCTAAAGGTTCAGAGTCTCCCCTCTGAATTAGGGTACGTCTAAACTACATGGCTCCGTCTACGGAGCCATGTAGATTTGTTAGTTTGGCAAAGGGAAATGAAGCCGCGATTTAAATAATCGCGGCTTCATTTAAATTTCCATGGCTGCCGCGCTGAGCCGACAAACAGCTGATCAGCTGTTTGTCGGCTCAGCGCGGCAGCCATGGAAATTTAAATGAAGCCGCGATTTAAATAATCGCGGCTTCATTTAAATTTCCATGGCTGCCGCGCTGAGCCGACAAACAGCTGATCAGCTGTTTGTCGGCTCAGCGCGGCAGCCATGGAAATTTAAATGAAGCCGCAATTATTTAAATAGCGGCTTTATTTTCCTTTGCCTACAACCCTCATCTACATGGCTCCATGAATGGAGCCATGTAGTCTAGACACAGCCTTAGACAGTCACAGTCTTTATGACATCTTAGGAGTTTTTCCATACCTCTAGTTTTTCATCATTGCCCATTGGCTTGCCCACTCTGTATTATCTGGGTTGAGGGAATGTAGGAAGCTTGCCAGAAAAATGGGTTGCTCTGTACCTACAGCTGGGTCCAGTAACCATCCTGTTTGCTGTTCACTCAGAAGTTCTGCCTTATCAACGGCCAGGTATTTCTGGATTCATCTCTGACTTCTGGACCTTCAAAGGACAAATTCTCTTTCTTCATGAACTATAACTACTCTTTCCTGCAAGTATATATGTTGCAGTAGAGAGGGTGTTGGTCAAGAGCTGTAACTGTTCTATTCTTCCTCTTTCTTTTGTGTTTTTGGACAGTAAGGGGAGGAGCTAAATTGATCTTGCATCTTTCAGGATGTTCTGTAGCTGTCCACCATTACTGGTTTTATATATGGCCAAGCTTACACACTTACTTTGCCTATGTCTGAATCCATTGATGTGTGCAGGGAAGATGGAGAAGATTCACACCGTCGCTGAAAAAAGGGATTTGAAAGTGCACAGACTTTGTTAATAGCAAGAAAAGAAGGAAGAGAGAGAGAAAACACTTTAATTTCATGTTAGTTCTATATTACCATAGGCATGGGATCCTGTAAGACTTGATCAATTGCAGCACAGAGTTCTTCAGTTTGTTGCCTGAGCTGGGCAGGAGAACACATCTGGAAAAATAAATGCAGCAGCTCAGTTAGCTTTGGCTTTGTGATTTCAAATGAAGCGCTGACTGAAAAGATTTATTGCGATTCCCTACCTCTAAATGTGTGTCCAAAGTGGTGTCCTCGGACACTTTTTCTCTTTTAATTGGCTCTTCTAATGCCTAGAGATAAATAAAAATTATTCTGATGATAGATTGGCTGAAAATAAAAGCTTGTTTTTCAGTGTGAACTTTTTCTTCCTTGGTACTTCCCCATATCATCTGGGAAATATGATAATTCTGTACTAAGCTTTGACAAATGAAAGTGACCACCTCTTGAATCATTAATGAAGTTCTGCACAGAGCTCCACATTATTAGAAAGGGGAAATCCTCCTAGCAAATGAGGTTGCTTTGAGCCTAATCTTGGAGTTCAGAACAGTATCAAAGATGAAAATTTTCCCCTACATTATTTACACCCATTGTCTCCCCACCAAGTGTGTACCATGTTTACTTGTATATTATTTAGCTGCTCTCTCTCAGTCTCCATATTTTGAATAACACTCCAGACAAGGTGTGGTCCATGGTAAATTAAAGATAAGACAGGGACTCAATCTCTTTGAAATCCTATTGGTTTGTGTCTGTGGCTGCTTCCTTTAATAAATACCACCGGTTTAAGAAGCACTGCAATCCCATATGACAAAGGTTTCAGTAAGTTTAGTGGGATTCTAAACAAAAAAACTGTATAGGTAAAGGAAAACCTTTACTCCAGATTAATGAAAGAAAATCTCTTCTAAAGCCTTGATGGATGTAGAGGGTACCTTATTTATGAGTATCTGTTTAAATTCTATTTGATTTTTTTTCTCTTCCTCTCCACATAATCTCTCAAAAGCACAACACAAACCCAAAGTGCTTTGAGTACCGTTCCAACTTTCAAACCCACAAAACACAAACCCAAAGTGCTTTGAGTACCATTCCAACTTTCAAACCCACAAAGTTAGTATCGGCTTGAAATTAGTGAAAATCAATTTGCCTATCACTAATTCTACCAATAAGTGCAGAATACCCACAATTCACAACAAAATTCCTCTTTGCCTTTTTTCTTCTAGGCTCTGAGGTACATTCTAGTAGTTGCTGTTACCCTACTCCTCCTTTGAAGTAACTTCCAAAGGGTTTCCATGCTGATACCATATTACTCTAGAAGCTGCTGGAGAATGATGTTAGACAGCAGGGGTCAGGATCTGTGGATTTTTTAACTGCATTGGTGTTTTATAGTTTTATTTTTATTATTTAATTTTTAAAAGTATGAAAAGAGCAAAAGATATTTCTTTAAAGTTAGTTACCCTGCATATTCCCTGCTTCAGGGGAGTTCTGTAGAAACAGTGACGTCAAAGCATAATACAGGTGCAGTATCCATCACACAAGATATTGTGGTTGCAAAATTTCCATTTTTTTAGATAGTGAGACACGTTGGAGTACTCCTCTTTGCCCAGCCATCGAGGGCATTCAATACAAAACTGTAAAGTTACTAGTATTTTAGCTTGCAGCTATTTCAGTTATTATTTATCACATTATGTTACAATATATATTTAAAAGTCCAACTCAGAAGTAAAGGTTTCTATCAATGTGAAGTGTTTTCTAAAGAGAACTTTCATAGAAAATGTTTACATATTTAAATTTAATTCCATATAAAAATTAAAACAAATTCTGAGATCTCAAAACCCTCCACGAAACAGAATCTGTCCTTTGTACAGTTAGAATAGCTGATGTGTCTGGATATAAGATAGGAAAACAACCTGTTTTAAGATACTTAAATAAAACCTCTGAATGGAGATTCTGCTGAGCTCCTCAAAGAATTCCATCTCCATTTGGATACTAAGCACACTAAGGCCAGGACTGTATTCGACCCGGAAGGTCAGCTTAAGGTATGCAACTCCAACATAGCTGGAGTCAACGTACCTTAAATTGAGTTTGGCTCCATCTCCACAGTGGGAGGTCAACAGGACCAAATGTTCCCGCTGGCTTTCCTTCCTCCTGATGAGTATGAGTACTTTTACTGACTGGGGGTGCCCTCAGCATTCTATTTAGCAGGTTTTTACTAGACCTACTAAATTTAGCCAGAAGATCGATTTCTGATATGGCAAGTAGAGACAAGGCCTAAGGGTGGGGAGGGGAGTTTTACATGATCAGAATGCTCCAACTGGCTCTAAGAGGATACTCTGAGATGAGGAAACTATTAATTAGCAGCATCTGATTAGTCTTTCCACAAGGCACCACATATGCAAAAGCACTCAAGTGGACAGTCTGAGAGAACATGTCTAATCCTTCAGAATGCAGTCATGGTGTGGTAGCCACTGTGGGGAAATCTGTACTGATTTTGAACCTGGAAAGATGAATAATTTAAATTTTGAAGGCCATTGATCTAGATACTTTCCTAATTACTACATCACTACTGAGAAAAAAGAACCACTCACAGTAATAAGTTTAATTAATTCAGAGAGTAGTTATTAATGGTTCACAAACCTCCTGGAAAGGTATAACAAGTGGGGTTCCTCAGGGGTCTCTTTTGGGACCGGCTCTCTTCAATATGCTTATTAAGTTTGCAGATGATACCAAGCTGGGAGGGGTTGCAACTGCTCTGGAGGATAGGGTCATAATTCAAAGTGATCTGGACAAATTGGAGAAATGGTTGTAGGTAAACAGGATGAAGTTTAATAAAGACAAATGTAAAGTGCTCCACTTAGGAAGGAACAATCAGTTTCACACATACAGTATAGGAAGCGACCGTCTAGGAAGGAGTATAACAGAAAGGAATCCAGGGGTTATAGTGGACCACAAGCTGAATATGAGTCAGAAGTGTGATGCTGTGACAAAAAAAAGGAAACATGACTCTGGAATGAATTAATAGGTGTGTTGTGAGCAAGACACAAGAAGTCATTCTTCTGCTCTACTCTGCGCTGGTTAGGCCTCAGTTAGAGTAGTGTGTCCAGTTCCGGGCACCGCATTTCAAGAAAGATGTGGAGAAATTGGAGAGGGTCCAGAGAAGAGCAACAAGAATGATTAAAGGTCTAGAGAACATGACCTATGAAGGAAGGCTGAAAGAATTGGGTTTGTTTAGTTTAGAAAAGAGAAGATTGAGGGGGGACATGATAGCAATTTTCAGGTATCTAAAAGGGTGTCACAAGGAGGAGGGAGAAAACTTGTTCATCTTGGCCTCTGAGGATAGAACAAGAAGCGATGGGCTTAAACTGCAGCAAGGGAGGTTTAGGTTCGACATTAGGAAAAAGTTCCTAACTTTCAGGGTAGTCAAACACTGGAATAAATTGCCCAGGGCGGTTGTGGTATCTCCATCTCTGGAGATATTTAAGAGTAGGTTAGATAAATGTCTATCAGGGATGGTCTAGACAGTATTTGGTCCTGCCATAAGGCAAGGGACTGGACTCGATGACCTCTCGAGGTCCCTTCCGGTCCTAGTATTCAGTGATTCTATGATTCTATCACTTTTCAATTCCTGCTATTTTCCCTCTCTTTTGTCATGGATAGACAGATTATCCCAAAACAGTGGATGAGATAAGAGGAAACTGGTTTATGGAAACATATTGCTTGCATCCAAATGGGTCCATTTTAATATATTAATAGCATATAAAATAAATTATTTAAAAAGTAAGATTTTTTAAAAATTAAATCTGGCTTTTCTTAGCCAACCACTGGTTGTGTCGTTTAACAATCTTACTTTGAGCATTGTTGCTATTAGCAATATGCAAATGCAAGCCAAGTTTGACATACTTGGCTGCTGGTTTTA